GCTGCTGAAGAGGACTTATAAATCTTCAAGAGGATGAACTTATCTTTAAGAACAAAGAACAGAATTGTCCACGGCATAGTATTTTCTGTTACTCTTTACAGATGTGAGATCTGTACAATAAAGAGGCAGGACAAAAATGGCATTAACTCTTATGAACTCACAAAGTCATAAAAATATCACAAACTGCTAGGAAAACTCATAAGTGGATTCTTGAACAAATCTTACCAGAAATTTCCACTGAAGTGTAAATGATTAGACTGAAGTTATCCTATTGTGAGCATATTATGATAGGACCCAGTGCATTGAAAAAGAGTGAAATGCTTGGAAAACTTAAAGGAAAGGATGACCAGCAATGAGATGGATGGAGTAAATGATTTCAACAATGATCTGGGAAGCTTGAAAACCCAGATAGAAGACAGAATATTCTGGAAGAATGCCATCTATATGGTTGGTGGCACTAACAATGACAGTTTGGAACATGCGGCATGTGTGAATGTGTGCTCTGCCCCCTGTTGAATGAAACAATGTGGAAAATGGTGTTATGGTCATATTTTGTTATAAAATACTGGCATCAGAAAATAGTTTATAAAATAGAAGTTTCTGGGAGTAACTGAGTGATTTAGTATTTTGCAAGTTATATAAGGACTAAATAAGGTACAAAAATGTTGATGTATTATGAAGCTAGTACTGAAAGTTTATTTTAGAAACAAACATTGCCTCAAGTTTTAAACTGATCAGATACCCCTGAAGTCACAGTTGAAAGAAGAAATGGGAAATGCACTGCAGTTTCGTCATGCTGTAGACAAAATAGAGCCATAAAAATCCATTATGTCTGCCAATATAACACAGATCTAAACTCCAAGCCTTAAAATAAAAATAAAAGCAAAGCTGAAGAAATCCTACCCTATGTGTTTGTTTTTAATTAATATCTCCTGCAGAAGAGGCAGCGGATTGTGTTGATCCATAGGGATGTAATCACTCCATAGGAGAAACGTCTCCAGAGTCCATCACAGCCTACCAGAACAATCAGCTAGATTTTCCTTTTCATTTATGTTCAGAGATAGCTCAGGCTTCACAAGTTACTTAGCATTGCTGCAAATTCTCCCATGAAATATAATCTCCAAGCCTCACCTATTAACATTATGAGTACAAAAGTAAAAACAATGCATTGACCTTACAGAAAAAAAATGCAGAGATTGTGTAAATATTGAACACAAATTCTAGTGTTGGTAATGTCACATCCACTTGGCTAAGAGAAAGGAGACCACACCAAGTATCGTTAAGTAGAATGCATGGATCAAATAGGGCAATTTACCA